AGGGAAAGAAATGCATTGAAACTACAACAGAGAAGAAATTTACGGGAGGATGATGAAATTACATGCAGAATAATGCGGAAGTTGATGAGTTTCAGGAGACTACAAAGGCCATACGTATCTGCACTATTGAGAACAATTTCAAGCCAACAGTCTTCAGTCATCATCACGAGAACCTCAGAGAAGGAGTCAGCAAATTCCTGTACTGCTGGCTGACGACAGTCCAAGACTTCACAGATTGAGGTCAAGTTTTTTTGGTGTGATCATCTCTAACACTTTTCCAATCTAATTCGATGTCGGTTAACATTAATCGGAGTGGGGAGGGGTAGGGAAGGCGGTGACTTGGCATGCGTAGATGATTTAGATTAAAATAAAAATCATTAAAAAACAACAACACGCATTTGCTAACCTCGTGCAGACGTCTTGTAAGGCATGCAGCAGTACTGCAATCCAACTTTTTTGGTGGATATCCATAGAATAAAGACAAACAACTTGATGGAATGCCTATAAGTGATGTAATCGCTTGTAATAAATCATGCAAGGTTGAATTCAACGTGAGACCATTCAATGCATATTGTCCAGTACGATAACGACAGCGTAGTTTGAATAAATCGTTGGATGAAGTCAACTGACATGTTTGCATTTGTACAATCCAAGTTAATCAGTTAGTGTTTGTTATTCAGTGAGATAAATAGTGAATGATCTATCTAAAAATAATTTTTTTTCAAAAAAGAAAAAGATGGTTTAATTCAATAATTCTCATTCTATATTACTTTAAGAATACAAGTAGTTCAGTGAAGAGTGGCTCTTTTCAACGAATTTATTATCAAACTGTACAGCTGTATGATGCGTCCGTGGTAGAAATGTTGGCCAATCACACCTCATGTGATCCAAGCTGGATCGATGGTATGGAGGGAATATTGACAGTGAGGCTGTATAGTTAAATTACAAAACACTATCATTGTTAGATTTTCGTCATGAATCAACCCATCAGTTAGACAGTGATCATTTTAGGCTTTACTTCGGCTATCTCCTACGGGAGGATGAGCCGGCTTCATGAACATCTCGAATCATCGCTGCCCAGGCGCATGGTGAGAGTCGTTTGTAAGAGAGTTCATGAAGTTTCATGGGAATTTGGTACGAGTGATGTCCCCAGAATCGCTCGGCCTTTCGTTTGAGAGTGCAGCTCTAGCCTTTACACAACCAAGTGTGACCTACAAGGCAGTAGGAGTGGAGTAGGGAGTCCACTATCCATTGGCAGCCGGTGACCGGAGTTCGGTTCATACGCCTTTTTGAATGGGGCCAGACATTTAGGACATCCAACAAGCCCTTTGTCCATACATCTGCCGGTGAGCTCCAGTGAGCTTCATACGCCAGTCGTTGGAGGTTTGGAGTCAAGGTTTAGCCATCCCCCCTAGACTGTCATCCAATGGACAGTCAACCCGGTGAAGAGCGCCGGGCATCCGCTTTCGCCCTCTCACTTTGGTGAAAAACACCTCCGCCACGTGAAGGCAGTGAGTAGGACTTCCTCAGGAGAGGCTATGTAAGACGCCCGGTCATATGGGAGCATTTCAAGGGGTGTGCGGAGGGGTGGCCAACCCGCAGCGCAAGGCACCCACCCCCGACCATCCTGAGGCTTTGGAGGCCTGATCATTGAAAACCAGCAAGGCACTCGGACTGCTATTCAGAAGTGCCCATCTACAACCCCACCGATAGGGATCAAACCAGGCTGGACCTTCAAGTTAAGACACGCATCTCGTTAACCATTCACAGCTGACTTGGGCCATACGGAATTCACGTGATCCCTGAATTCCATTGAAATGGCATCAGTCAAGGAAATCCAAAACAGTTAGTTTAGGCCAGCCAGTCACGTAGGGAGGTGTAGACTAGCTTCCTGGTTGGGGTCCTCGGGACGGTAAAAACCAATGGAGGCTGGAGACAATCGGTGATATGGCTTAAAATCTGCGTTCTTAATGGCTAGCGCAGATACATCCACTCCTTGGACTCATAATACCCAATAAAACTATATTGTTCTTCCATATTACTATTCTTTTTTGCTTCATATCTCTGTTTACTGTCTCTAATTTGCATTTCTTTTTACTTTCTTCTCTTGTTTTGTGTGCTATAATGGGGGGAGTGTGGCGGCTCGAACTGCTGTATATCGGTGCAAAGTTCTATGCGGAAACCAGTCAATCAGTCAGTTAGAATTCTAACTTTGTCACAACTCGTAATACATAGCGCTGTCCTTATCATCTTATAATAATCTAGAAAATACTGTCACTATTGAAACTTCGAGACTCAAGTCTGAAACTCTACGTCCCATTATCATGTGAAATGAGATCAAATGTTTGTGCTTATAATTATTAGTTCAGTATCAAACGATATATATAACCAATTATGTCATACACATAGAATACTCCATAGAATGTATAAGCTTTGGGTAGGGGTTGTAAACTTAATAGGATTAATAGGCGAATAAAGATATTACGTAAACTGCTGGAAAGTTTGTTAAAACCGATTTTGACTTATTGATAAAAAGCACGAGAGACAAAACAGTGTAAACTGGACATTGAGTCAATTCCAGAGGAAATCATCTTCATGAATTTGACATTCACACAAAGGTAATCAGGTTTCAGGTATACTCAGAAATCATTTTTCTAAATGATTCAGTAGGGCGACGTTCTTTACAGTGAAACTACGACTTACCTTCATTTGTGTAAAAACATAAGCTCCCTCGTCTAGCCTCCTCTATGTGCATCTATCCGTTCAGTTATTCTTCTGGAATAAGGCACATAGGCCGTAGCCAGAGAATACCTTCCGTATGAGTACAAGAGAACATTCCATCATCTTTTTGCATAGGATAAAGGAAGAGTGTGAGAAGCTCTATTCTAGAACACTTAGTCAATTTCTGTCACTCAACGAACCCTCACGATGATTCTAAGATCATATATCGCATTTGTGCTAACTTTCCAAGTTTCCTTCGTTTTAAACTTCTGAAAAGACAACAGGGGCCTTGGCTACTTATGAATTCAAAGTAAACTTTTGTGTACAAAAGAAGCATGTACAATCCTTATTTCTATCTTGGCGACCAAACAAAACAAGTTCTTGTGTTATTTCATTTCTCACATTCATTATTTTAAATCAATATAGTTTTTAAGATCTTGAAATCTGTCTTATTAAAGTTCTCACCATGTTACGTAATGTTGCTATTTACCTAATAATCCTATTGATTTCACAATCCCTTCCCAAGATCTGTACATTCAATGAACGATTTCATATACATTATAATTTTTTCTACCGCACACGCTTGGTACATTATAGACGCTAAGAGATGTGTGTGAGGGCTGGGATACTGCCCGGAGACCTACACCGGAGCAAGCAGTTGTTTCGAAGACCCACCCACCTACACCCTAAGCCTTTGACTTGAAGTCTGATCTCCAAGGCAATGGAGTCACATTCCTATGGTTATTGGTGCGCGAAACAGATTCACACACCCTTCGATCCATTTTGAATTCTGGAGTCCATGTACAACATAGGTTTGCTGTAATCAAGACTTTCAAGATGCCTCCATAGGAAGATCAGCACGTCTGTCGGTCCAGTTGTAGCCTTCAAACGTTCGCATTCGCTCTTTTACTTTTGTGAGGAACACCTCTATCGTTTGAATGCAATGCATACAACATACCTAGAGGAGATTGACTGACTAACTAAGTTTCAACATAAAATCTAGCATAGAAGTACAACAGTTCAAGTTGCCACAGTTTACATAGCATACAAAAAGGACTCAGAAGTACTATCATAGACATAAATTTGGAGAAAGAATACTAACATGGAAAAACACTAAAGTCTAGTGGATATGAGAGATCGCAAAGGGTGAATGTATTCGTGTCACTGAGAGAGATTTTGAGGCACATGTGCAATAGTCTCCAGTCATTGGTTTTTAGCATCCCGAGGACCTTAACCAGACTCAGACCAACAGTCCAAGACTTCGTAGACTGATGCCAAGTTTTGGTTTGAGCATATCTAACTATTTACCAACCTAATCTTATATCAGCTAACACTGTTCTAGGTGGAAGACAGTGGGTGGCTCAATATGCGCATAACACGTGTTGGAACCACTTCAATCGATGTATTTTCACAACCTTACCGACTGACTTACCTGGCAACACGTGACCACATGAGAGCTTTCCCAGAGGGAGACCAAAGTCTACCCCCCGTTGACCGTACCAAGGCGTTCATGAGTATAAGCAGAAACATTTTAATTGCATTTCAGAATATGATTGTTTAAATTTCCTAAAGGGATACAGTTTCTTAAAAACAATACATACATACGTACGATTATACAGCTTGATAAATTCATTGAAAAGAGCCACTCTTTCCTAAATCACTTGTGTTCTTAAAAAGCATGGTTATCACAAAATAATATATTTTTTGTGCGTTGAAGTTTCTCTGGCAGTTTGATAGCTTTTGTAGTATAGGATCGCTAGCCCCACACGCCCAACCCTCCGTCTTAACCCGGGTTTGGAACCGACTAGAAAACTACCAAACTAGTAAACTAGTAAACAGCTGCCTACGCTTCATACTGAAGACCAAATAGCCAGAAAGAATTAGTAACAAGAAACTCTGGCTAACTGGGAACAAACTAACAAGCAAGAGCTGATTGCTCAACAAATATGCAGGAGAAAATGGAGATGGACTGAACAGGCATACATTGAGAAGATTGTCGAATGACACTGCGCACCAGGAAATTGCTCGAGTGGAACTTTAATGGGATGCGACGAGTGGGTCGTCCTAAGGTGATACGAAGGAGATCGTGCGAGTTGGAGGAGATAAGAGATTATGGGCAGTGGTGGATCCAGCTGAAGAGGACAGCAGAAAATAGAACAAAGTGGAGATGTGTTGTTGAAGCCAGCCCTATGTTCCACTCGGAACCCAAGAGAATAATAATCACCAAAATAAGAAGCAACAACCACAACAAGAAGGACAGAAAGAAAACAGCCGTTACAAAAATAATACATTTTTATTGATGTTTTTTATTCATTCATTCATTCGATAACATCATTTTCTAAGTGTTTAGCAACTAAATCAATAACATCTGGTTTCATAAATGCATTAAGAATCTGTTCAATAGAAAGTCGATTTATAGTCGTGTTGTTGGAGGATGGGAAGTTATCTGCTTCCGTTTCTTTCATTTCCTTTGAATATGGAAATAAATTATCTAACTTTTCTGATACTAAAGGCTTCCAATCGATAGTTGGACAAATTTTTGACCGTTTCACACCTTTTTCCTCTTCCTCTTCTTCTTTCTCTCCTTCTTCCTCCTTTCCATTACATAATTTGGAAGAATTTTCAGCACAAAAAATTAATCGTAATTGATCGAGTAATTCTCTAAACCATGATTCTGTTTCAAAAGCTTTTAATTCAGTGGGGTGTAGAACATCTTTAGAGATAACAGACCTATTACAATAATTCGATAATAATGAAAAACCAACTAGCTGAGTAAGTCCTTCTTTAAAACGTATTCTATTATCTAGAGAAGGTTGATCGATCCATAAATTCACTGAACATGTGTAATTCGAGGAGGTGGCGGTGGATTCAACAAAATGCCACCAATGCCTTGGAACATAAAGTATGTCTCCTGGATGTAGTGTTACACAATAAGGTGTTGTTTTTGTCAAAAGAGGATATTTTTTAAAGTTTGGCAATGGGAAATTTACTTTACTAAATACAGTTGATTCTTCTAGCGGGATTCGACTTTCATACATATACGGATTATCTGATGGAGGGAATAATAGCCAACGTTTTGTACCGTGGATTTGTACAACTAAATTAACACCGTATGTATCACGATGACAGATAGTATGCGCTTTACAAGATCCAAGCCAAAATGTTGGTTTGATCATATGATCTGGTAAAAATGGAAATAATTCCTGAAAGGATAAATCATTGATTAATGCTTGAAATTTATCCGACTGGGACATATATATGTAATCTGCATAAGCCCACCATAATTCTTTAGGATATTTCGCAAGGGGATTATTCACATCCTTTACATCATCATTGATCCAATCATTAAATTCATTAATGGTAGCATAAACTACAGGACAGTATGGTTCCCATTGAATATGATCAGAGTGTTTTTTACCAAGACGAAATTTCAATGTGTTATTGATTTTCTCTGAAAGATAATATAAATTCCATGCTTGACATGCTTTCCATTTAGAAGCAATACCGTTAGCTATGTATGGATGTTCAGGATTAGGAAATTGTGAAAGTAGGCTATTAGCAATGTCAACCTATAGTTGTATATTGAGAAAATGTAGAAATATTTAGGTGATAAGAAAATAGTTTGATTTCGAATAGTTAAATGTTACACATTTTACAAGTTACTAAGCGAAGAGAGGCAGTAGTAGATATTATAAATTATTTAAAATAATCCCAGCGTGTTTAAGAAATAAAAAAAACATCAAAACAAGATCTACTTTCTGAACGTTTCGCTGTGTAAGCCGTTATCATATATCTGTAATGACTATTGTCAAATTAGTGCGTCGGTGGCACAACGGTAGAATGTTCGCCGACCACGCCTCATGTGGTCCGGGGTTCGGTCCCCGATCGACGCACTCCTTTTACCTTGCTAAGCCAGTAATAAGACTAGTCAAGAGGGAAGGTTGTGGGGCATCAGGCTAGCAACCCCATCCCATAAAAATAAACACAACTGTTACCAAAACTGCAAGCCTCTAGCTTGAAGCCTTATGTTCCTCTTGGAATGTAATGGAATAAAAAAAATATCAAATTGTTATATGTGCGTATTTGTCTGTATGAGTGTGTGTGTGTGCATGTTGTTTTTTATGTGGCAAAGAAAACATAATAATATTTCATAATATGGTCATAATATAGGATTGAATTTACTTTTCTCCCTCATCTCTTTTGCTTCATCAGAGTTCCCCATATAGGTGATAAATCTATCCCTTCTCTCCTTCCTATTTACTGCATTCGATATGGTTAAGATGTGCAAGGCTTCAGAGGTCAATCTTTCTTTATCTGTTGAATGAAAGCCTCTTCCTAGAATTTCAACATTGTCGAAATCAGTCGTATGTTCACTGTCTATAGCATGCATTGCTATAACCGATCTTTTCTCAACTGTCCTCCTCTACTCTTCTCTACTCCATTTCTAGGTGGACGTTTCGTGCACAGTCTATGTTAATTCTCTCTGACCTTCATCTGTCTGCTGCTCTCCCCTATATAGTAAGCTTTACATTCTGAACACTATCCTATAGACAAAGTTGTTTTGTAACATTTTGGGAACCATGTCTTTGATATCCACTAAAGCTTTCCCTAGAGAATTAGACGGCGAAAGGAAAGCACAAATCGACAAAATCACTTTACTCAGCCAGCCATATGTCAACCAAAAGACTCAACAGCGAAAGAAGATAAAACCAACATCATCTGCCGTATAAGTTGTAACAACTGCGAGAAACACAACATTGGCCAAAGTGGACGTCCTCTTCGTCTTCGTAGCAATGAACATAAACTAACCGTCAAAAGATGTGACATTCACTCCCTCATATCACTGCATATAGACAACCACGGACATCAATTCGACTGGGACAACCAACGTTCAAATATTAGACAGAAGAAACACCAAGAATGGTAGAGAACTTTTAGAAGTCTGGTATTCCAGTGAATCATCAATCAATAGACACATCGAGAGAGAAAAAATTTACCAACCCGGAGACCCTAACGATTCAGGAAGTCTACACCTCTCTACATATCTGGCTGGCTTAAACTAACTGTTGTGGACTTCACTGATTGATGAAGCCATGGTTCAGTTTGACCACCACGAGCTAGCTCTTTTCCAATGTGATCCTATGTCAGTTAACATTGCCCGTTGAGAAGGGCCATTGGGTCCCAATGGCTGAATGGTATACGAGCTTGGATGCGAACCGCCGATGATTCCCAAACTAGGAGGAAACAGCAGCTGTTCAAAGCCTAAGTGGGTTAGTGACTAAGCTAGCCTTATTCGAAACACCGAATGCCAGGCCATCGAGTGAAACCTGAGTGTGAAGCGACGAGTTTGGAGACAGTATATGACATGATGGAGACTATAACGAGAAGAAATGAAAACTTTTGGGCAGACGTCGAGTGATAGTGAGGATTGACGTGTAGTGGACATATTCCACCAAAGCCCCATGTCCCACACAGAAAGCAAGGAGTGTACGACAATAATAATAATGCAAAATATTGATATTTAGATTTTAATGAGTAGAGAAACTGCAATGGATTCTATATCCTCTTTCATTACTGAAGTAAGAAGAATAAAATTAGTTCACTCTAGACGAATACAAAAATTAAAGTACTATTCAAGACGAAGACCGTGCATATTGGACGAGATAATTTTTATTAACACATGAAGAATGTTAATAAACCCTATGTGATTCCCCATAAATATGAGTTGTCATAACGTGTACTACGCTTTAAGCGCATAAGCCGGAAAGTCGCGCGGTGGCCGCACATGGTTTCAGAGCCTTTACTAGAGTCACCAGAGATATGCTCACCTACTTATATACATCTCTGGTGAGGTCAAGACTAAAGAACTGTATCCAGGCAGCCAGTCCTTGTCCTACAGAAGACTGACATATTCTAGGAAGGGTTCAAAGGAAGGCAACACGTATGGTTTTTCGGTACGACTAACTTATCATACGAGGAAAGACTAGGCAGTTTAAATCTGTTCTCCCTGTCATACTGTAGGCACAGAAGAGATTTAACCACAATGTTTAAAATTTTAAATGACTGCGGATCTGACACCAGGTCGGAACAACTCAGAGGACATAACAGGAGGGTTCAAAAGCCTAGAAGAAATCGTATTACTGTGAAGTACTAGTTTTCACACCGAGTCATAAACTATTGGAACCGACTCCCAGAAGAAGTGGTGTCTGCAACCTCAACTGATTCATTCAAGAAGGGTTTGGACAAACACAGAAATTGACTAGAAAAGGACTGACATAGGCTCCAAGTCTTCTATACTCAACCAATAAATCTGAATTTGAATCTGAAGACCAAGGCCGTGCATATTGGACGAGTTAAGTTGTATTGACACATGAAGAACTTTAGTAAACCCTATAATATTCTCCATAAATTTGGGTTATCACAACTTTTACTAGGCTTTGAAGGTATAAACCAGAAAGTGAGCATAGGATGTTTGAAATTCCTTATCTGTGAATATGTTCTCAGTTAGATCATTAAACCTTACGCGACTTATCCTTTAAAGTTATCTACACGGCGTAATCCTACTTTGATAATGACTGAACTAATAATTAATATTAGGGGAGCCGAATTACAAGGTACTCAGATACACTAATAACGACAATTCTAGCCATATTCCTTCCAACAACATGTAGACAGTGGAATTATACCATGCAGCCAGGTTTTGACTCCGAAATGATATGTCGTTGTGAAAACAAGAATGATATCAGAAAGTATCGATATCTTGATAAGTAGCTGTGCATATGATGATAGCGCTGGACACTTGAAGACCAACTCCATAAGCTGTTTTATTCCAGCCAAGCAATAGAGAATGGTTTTATTTGACAGAGTTACACATGTGCTTCACCTTTGAAATACTATAATACTCACAATGCCCAACTTTTTCCTAATGAAGTTCACCTGTTATTTGCGACAATTACTTTTAAACAGGAGTCACTTTAGACAACAGGGGAATTGTTCGAAATTATTTAGGGACCTAATTGGATGAAACTATCAATTCCGTGGAAGCAAATCTAGTAACGTGGAACATAAGCGATTCGGTTAACACATATATATCAATAGATGAAAAACAAACAACATGCCAAACGATAAAAACAGTAAATTAAGTGGCGAAAAAGTAGAAGAATATCACATCTCCTCCACTTTATGAAAAATCTGGATGTTTCTGATAGTTTCATTTGAATTATCGTACGTCCTAACTCCAGAATAATACCAGGAGAATTATTTGCTTGGCTCACTTATGTCTAACAGTCATATAATTTCCCTCTCCTAGATAAATACACATTAATACTCACCATTCAGATCAATGCGGCCTTGAGATTGAAACTAGCGGTGTGTTGACGCGCCGGCTTACAAGTTGGTGAGGTATTGGGCATGGTTATACGGGCAACTTCAGCTGGCCAGTTTGTGTGGAAAATGGCATAGAAAGTTGTTGAGCAGTTGTTTCTTCCGGTTGCTTTTTGAGTGGAAATTACTTTAATAAATTGAAAAATGCATATAGTCGTGGATTTGTGTCTGTAACATTGTTCATTTTGCAACAAACTTTATATCTTTTAGACATCCTATCCAATGTCGTTTTTACGAGCTATTATAAACCAATTCGATTTCTTTGTGCTCGCCTCTTGATTGTGAGGTATAGGTTCCTGATCTTCAGTAAGATTCTGCGTAACTCGTCCCGCCACTCGACTGTCGTAGCTTTGGTTGACTCCAAAAGGAGTAGTGCTGGGATTAATTATATGTGATTTGTAGTATGAGGTGTGTTAAGACTGTTACTACTGTGAATGGAATTGATCCTTTCACCAGTTAGTCCTCCGGTATCGTCGTCAAAAGAAAAGAGATAATAATAATAGATATAATTAATGAAGTTATTCAGACTAACAGACAGAAAAAGAATTAAGAAAGCGTAACAACAGTCAGCTGATTAAATCTGAAGAGTAATATGGATAATATATATAGGTAATAATAATAATAGTTGTTGTTAAAGTTGTCAGAAACTTCAGGCCAGTAGCTTGAAGCCCTATGTTCCACTGGGGAACGTGAAGGAAAAAAAGTCAGAAGAGTAAGACGGGAGAGAACTTAAAGAAGTAAAACGACGAATTTAGTTGTCTACCCCTGAATGGTGTGTGGAATTTTAAGGGGATAGGCCATTTGGACGCGGTCCTTGTATCGCTGCATGATTGTCCAGCCGTCGCTTAAAGGCGTCCACAGACGGTGCCATAGCCAGTAAGGAATTCCAGGGATGGCAAACCCGCAGTGAAAAGAAGTGGGAGCGCACCCGGGTCCTTACCCTCTTATGAGCTATCCTTCTAGGATTTCCACGAGGGAGCTATACCTACTCAATGGCAGAACACCTTTGTTTGGGTGATTCTGGTCATTTGTTATTTTGTAGGCAGTAATTGAATCCCCCCTAAGACGACAGTAACTAAGTGTGAATAGGCCCAATTTCTTCAGCCTTTCGTCATATGGTTTGTTTCGGAGAACAACCACTCCTTTTGTTGCCCGTCGTTGGACTCTTTTCAAGAGGTTGGCGTCTATTCTAAACATTGGGGGTGCAATGATATTATGCACTTCAAGGTGTGGTCTGACGTATGTTTTGTACAACCTTAGAAAGAGCTCAGGAGTGAGTGAACCTAATTGTCTATGTGTAAAGTGTATGACCACATATGCACTCGCTACGTCCCCCGTGTAGTTTACGCTTGTGTCCATTTTCTCCGTTAGAACTAGACCTAAGTCACGTTCCGACGTTGTGCAGGACAAGCTTCCATCGCACAGGGTGCAACTTGCATTCTGCAGTCTACAGGTGCGTAACTTCACTACTCTGCACTTTTTCAGGTTGAAAGTCATACCACTGGCCCCCTCCCAGTCTTCCAGAAGGTTTAGATCTTCCTGCAGCCTACCTGAATCCTCCGGACACTTTATTGTCCTCCATACCTTTACGTCGTAGGCGTATAGAAGAGTCGGGCAGCTTAGACGGCATGGTAGATTATTGATAAAAATCAAAAATATCAGTGGTCCTAGGATAGAACCCTGCGACACTCCTGATGACGAGCTCTACCAAAACGATCGGACTCGACTGGCCTTAGTGCAGAATTTCCTTTCAGCTAGGTAGTCCTCCAACCGTGACAAAAGCAGCTTACCTATACCTGCCTGACTTATTTTGTGTAGGAGAAGGCCATGATGAACTGTGTCAAATGCCTTCTCAAAGTCTAGTAAGACCGCATGAACTGGAACATTCATATCCCAGCACGTTCAATCTTCCCAAGCTGATAGTAGGTTAGTAACACAGGATCTGCCTTTCCTGAAACCGTGTTGTGTTTTATGGAGTATAGTAGACCTATGGAGGCATTCCCTGATGTGATCGTCAGTAATACTTTCCATTACTTTTGATACCACTGCGATTATAGCTACTGGTCTATAACTAGTGGCATTTTGCCTATACCCACCCTTGAAGATCGGAGAAAGGATGGCTCTTTTACACTCCCTTGACAGTTTCCCCGAATCCATTGAGTGTTGGAACAAGTCATGTAAGCGCCTACAGAGAGCTTCGGCGCACTGTTTCAGAACAGATGGCCCGAGGTCGTCACAACCTGGGGACTTCCCAGGTGTGAGTCGCTGTAGCTTTCTTAGTACTATTGCGGGGTTTATTTGAGGAGCAGCCACTAGGTCTTCCTCCTGTGAAACAGTAGTGCCAACATTTTGGTCCGTAACGGTAATACCCACATCGCGGTTTAGCTGTTTGGCGGGGGCTAAACCGAATGTCTCAGCCATCTCCAGACTAGTGGAATATTGACCGTTCGGGCCTACTAAGGCGCATGTCCCCTGATTGGTTGGTTTTCTTTCCGACATGAATCGGTATACGTTTTCGGAGTTTGCTAGGAGTTTTTTAGCAAGGTTAGCTTGGAATGACCTCCTGTCCCTCCTGACTCTCGTGTTGGACCGGTTTCTGAGTTCCGGGTATGCGTCGTGGTCGACCTGACTCTTAGATACGCGCCACGTGAACCAAGCCTTCCGCTTTGCTTGCAGAACACATTGCGTGCCTCTCTTAAATAAATAAATAAATAAATTTTTCTCATAGTACACTACATGAGGGACGCCAGTTTACAGGCATCATCAAATTGTTACAGAGATAGAACCATATAATTCAATCACAATTTACAGGCAGTAGCAAGATATGCTTTACATGTTCGCTGGAGATTATACATACACTTGATAAATGTTAATCCCAGTAGTATAAAACAGCCTTTTCACTTATATACAATCATTCCTGTGCAAAGTTGGAAAAATCTGCTAGATTGTCAGTGAATGCCACACAACAGGAAATACAGAAGTATTGTCTTCGCATTAACAAAAAACCAGGTCTTTGGTGGATGGATTGTAAGTGCCTGGGAAAAAAATAAAGCTTGAAGTAAATATTCATACATAACTTTGTTGTGTGCAGAGTCCTCGAATTATAGTTCATTGATGTGTTATTTTGAAATCAGTGATGTGTTTATCTCATTTGATCTTCAATGTCATTGTTGGGAGTAAGTACATAAGCTTCGGACGCATTAATTAATGGATTTCTACTGCTTGTGGGTATTTTCTTAGTGTGAGGAAGGTTTATGAGTTTCAGCTGTTCCGACAGGAGTTGAGAATATTAACTGCTCAGCAACATTATGGATATAAGTTCATCACATTATCTAAGGAAAGGTGGGTTGCAGTTGGTGAGGGATATATGGTGCCCAACGAGCGTTCATCTGTCCATGTGATGTTGTGGTGAGTTATACCTTTTTCATGTTGTCGGTTTATGTCCATTTTATTCCACTTATTGTGTTGGGTAGTAGTTTTACAAACGAGATTTCTTGTCTGTTTGAGGATACGTATCTTAACCGTTAATGTTTTATCTAGAATTATAAATATAGGCAAAAAACAACAGGTGTAGTATTTAAGCTTATACATTAAATGGACCTATAATTTCGGAGGCTCTCAGATAGGAACTAGAACTAATATCGTTTGCAAACTCTTGTAGTTTGTCATTAAGCACCTTTTTGAAGGAGGCCAGTGTACTTGCTTGACGCATTTCCATTGGCAGTTTATTCCATATCTGTGCATACCTAATCAAGTAAAACTTTTGCCTGGTGGCTGTTTTACATTGTTTGATAGCTACTGTACCCTTAGTGTGTCTTAGTTTGTAACCATTGTCATCTGAAAGTCGAGTGCCATTAGTAGAGGTAAAAACTAAGTGGTTTAGAAGCTTATAGTAAAGTGTCAAGTTTAGTCTCAGGCGTCTTAGCCATAGTGTTTCTAGTCCTAGGGTGTCACATCTAGTGGAGTAGTTCGTACCATTTTCAGTTCCGAGTAATTTTAGCGTGAAGTACCTCTGCACTCCCTCGACTTTCAATTTGTCCTCTATGCGTATGCTACTGTACATGAATGAACAGTAATCAAATAAAGGACGCACACAAACCTTGTACAACAGAATTCTAGACTCATTTCTGTAGAAGTTCCTGAGTAGAAAGCCGATAAGTCTGCGTGACTTTGACACTTGTTTGGAGATATGTTCAGAAAATGATAAGTTATGTGAATATTTCAGCCCTAGGTCTAGTACAGATTCCAGTCGTTGAAGTGCATGGCCTTGAATTGTCAGGTCAAGTTCTAAATTGTTGCAACCTATGCAGAGCCAGCCACATTTTTCGACATTAAATTGGAGTTGCCAGGTGTCACACCATCTATCCATTTTTTCTAATTCTTGCTGTATGGCGTTTACTGTTATTCCAAGATCTGTGTTCTTGCATTTATGCGTCACTTTTAAGTCATCTGCATATAGTATTGGTTTACCTACACTAAAGCATTCACAGATACCGTTTATATATATTATGAATATATATATATATTTATTCCTGTTTATGCAGGAACATACCAATTGTACAGGCATGGATAAGTTATTATATAAATTACAGTTTGTTTGTTCAATCTAACATTAGAGTCAGTCAGAACAGTCTGCAAAATAGTCTGTCTGTGTAACACATAAAGAGATATAGAAATATTGTCTTCGCATTAACAAAAAACCCAGACTTCAGATGAGTGTGATACAAATATCTGGGAAAAATAAAGCTTGAAGTCAATTCTCCTATAAAACTTTGTTGTGAACAGCATCCGTGAGATAAAGTTTATTGATGTATTATTTTGATTCAATAATGTATTTATTCCATTTTTGTCAGCAGTCTTATCGTAGTTTTATAATAGGAAAGAAATTTGATCTTTGATACGAAAGTTAGATAAGGTAATGTAAGATTGTTTTACTGCATCAAATGGGGTCAATTCTAGAACTATCCATTTGCGCCATTTGCGTCAGCATGGCAGACTGTACATGTAAGTTGAGTAATACATTGATAACTGTTTGAAAAACCAGTTGCTTCTTTATTTCAGATCAAGAATACTCCTTGTACAGAATGT